TTTCTACTAGATCAGTGAGTAACAACACCGGCCCACTTAATAATACTTCTTACCAATAATACCACTTGGAAACACTGGCTATTGCCACTCTAATACTAAAATGAATTACTTATTGAAGTGTACAATGTGAATGTAGGAAAATATAAATATCTGGGGAGCACAGTGTATTAGCAGATACTTGATATTAAATGAAAAGGTAAAATCATGATCAGACGTACCAGGACATAGAATATAAATGTTACTGAAGTGCATCAACAGGTTGGAGCAAACGCACATTCAGTCAAAGGCCGGAACATTAAGCGGTCGATGCAGTTTACTCACAGTCAGCATGTCTGTGTTGATATTCGGAGGATCCAACACGCGGGTGACTGACTCAACAAAGACAAAGAAAGCGATGACCATCAGGAACAGGCCGTTGATGAATCCAGAAAGTATTTCCACACGACCATACCTGCAAAACAAAGAAGAATAAGAGTTCATTTTTAGATCCAGCTGAATATTAAAATGCTTTGCATTTTTCCAGCGTCTCCTACGAAAGCCTTTCCCAATGTTCCTGATGGACATTACCCGTAGGAGAAGATCCTGGTGGCTTTCCAGCGCGTCATGAGGGCCGCAAACAAGCCGAGGACTAAAGCGGAGCAGTCAAACAGCATGTGGAAGCCGTCAGAGATCAGTCCCAGGCTGTTGGTCCAAGCACCATAAAACAGCTCCACAAAGGTGAACGCCTGAAACGTGCAGAGCAGCAAACCTTACAGTCACCTCAAAATGCAAAGTGTCTTTGAGTTGGAAATATAAAATAAGATGTTAGAGGAGAGCAGGAGCAGTTTGTAGGGAATATCCCGGCAACAGCCTTCTTATTAGATTATCAATCTCTATTGGACAGTTGACATTAATAGACTTCACAAACTAGACTTTATGTCCTGGGATTTCCATTTTATTAAGAAAGCTCTTATTTTGAAAATTAGAAAGCCATAAATATCCCTGGCAAATAAAGTATTTATGTGGTGCTGCCAATTTTTAAGAATTTCAGTGAATTCCCCACTCCAATAACATTCTTGAATAACTTTTCCTGACTCTGTGCATACCAGGTTGAGACACAGGAAGTAGAAGATCTGTCTGGAATCGTATTCTTCGAGGATCTGTTTCAGGGACTCTTTGATGAACCGTGGGAGGGACTGCGACGTGTGCTGCAGGGCGTCACCCATGAAATTGTACAGAGGGGTCCCTTCAGGCGAGTAACCCACCAGGGTGCCCTTATGACCTTTCTTTGACGGAGATGAGAGAATACTGGAGGCTGCAGACGGAGAGGGAGGAGAATAGATACACATTTAACATAAGTATATGGACTGAAAACACCAGGAATTTAGCTTTTCAGTGAGAATGGTGAAATACAGAGGTAAATAAATATCCATAAATGCTTTGCCAGAGCTGCTGGGTATGCACACCCAAGTAGTAGGTGAGGCACCGTCTCCCACAGCCTTTACTTACACATGATGAAGAAGATGGCGCTGACGATCACTCCTCCCGAGAGCACATGCTCTGTGCTGACCTGCTGGGGCGGCTTGCTCATGGAGCGCAGCTGATCAGTCAGCGGGTGAGTCCAGAAGTTGGCCAGCAGCAGGGCGCTGAGGAAGAGTGCGATGGCACCGTAGCGGGCGCACCTCGGCGCCTCCATCTTTGTGTTGCAGATGGCTTCTACGTAAAACTCCAGGATCATCACGGAGAGGATGATCATCCCAAACGGCAGGATGAGGGCCGACCACGATTCGACTTTACTCTGGTGTTGAGACAGAGTGAAGAAGCAATCAGTGAGGAGGTCAAACAAATCATGTGAGTGACACAGAGGAAGACAAAAAGACTTTTTTTCTGAACTCATGCGAGCGCAAAAAGACATAGAAGACACACATGGTCTGCGCACTTACTTCTGTGGTCAGTGAGAGCACTATGACCCAGGGGAGCAGCACAATAGCTGAAACTAGGTTGTCAAGTGCATAGAGGCGTTTCGCACCACCAATTTCCACTGACAGTTTCCTGGAGACAGTGTGGAAGCCCACCTTCAGGCACAGGGAGGCCACCAGCAGCACTACACCCCCCTGAAGGGAAGACAGAGGGAGGAATTTAATTTAGAAGGCAGAACTAATACTTTACTATGATTCTGTGAGCAGCATTAAACAAACTTTAATGCACGATACGGCTTTTGCTTACTTTATGATCTGCAACCCCTAAAAACGCAATGGCTGTGGAGAGGAAATGAGTGAGCGCGCTGTCATGATGTCCCTCGGCTGGTTTGAAGACGAGTCAAGGCAGACACAATATAAACAGAGGTATACAATAAACACCAACACATCAGGCCAATAACTGTAAAAAACAGCTGTAACCGCTGCACGCCATGAGGAGCAAAGGATACGGTGCTCCGCCATCTTTGCCATGAGATCGTCGTTGTCGAAGAGGAGGATGCAGATTACGGCGATGATGAAGAGAGCAGCGCCTCTGGTCTGCGTTAAGTCAGACAAACCAAACAGAAACATATTTCTACCACAGTGATAGATTAACCTGAGGCAGTATACACAGTGCAACTCAGGCAGTTAATGTGGGGGCAAGTTTGTGATTTCAAACTAGTTGTGTGAACTTGTGGCCTCTTACCTTGGACGGCCCCCCACCCGAGCTTGTGAACAGGACACCGAGGAGAGCAAGGACCACCACATCACTGTGCTCAAAAAGCAACAATGTCCTGTGAAAAAAAGAGACACCGATTTTAAATCGCACACTAAACACAACAGAGTCTGCATGAGCACACAGAAAGACGTAAACACACAATTAAAACCACACACATATGCTCACATGCATGCACGTAGCATTGTTGCCTTTACAAACTTACTCTGAGCGCACATTATTGGTGACATCTTACCTTAGAGGTCCACAGAGAGTTAGACCGAAGAAGCCCAGGAGGGATATGACACAGCTGAAAACAGCATGCTTTAGCAACTTTATCCACTAAAAAGAAAACAGAAATGAAAAAACAAAACTGATTATTATTATTATCTTTAAGTGGCAATAAGTAAGATTTCAGTGCTGGTTGATTTAGAATTTATATTTGAGTGAAAAAAAGGCATTGACACAATGTTTTTTCCTTTTATAAAGCTCAACCTTTACAGTGTGCGCCTCCAATATAATGTCGAATGAAGCAGAAATGGCAGATGAAACTACGAGCAACAGAGAAAAATCTTGTTTCTTTTCTTCAATGAAGCAAGAGCTGGATCACGCACAAATAGAAAAAGGAAACGAATTACACACACCTGTCTTTTTGAGATGACTTTGCCAGACGAGAAAGGCTTTTGAAAGAAAAGCAGAATAACAGCACTCCTGAGAAAAGAAGGGTCACTGTCAGCATGTTGTCACCCACCATAAATAAAATACCTGCTGTTATAATAATACACAACAAGTGTAAGTTCAATAAGCAGGTGATACGAGTGCGTACCCTAATTTTAGTATGAAGATGAACTGGACAATGTGAACAACTTTTAGGATATCATAAGATTCAAAGATCCCAAGAGCCTTCAGGACCTTCGTGACAATCAGTAAAACTATATATCTGGTTAACCTGACAGAAAAAGACAAAGAAGAGATTATTAGCAAACGAGGGGAAAAACAATCAACGGAAACACGTCACCATAGGTTAATCAGCTACTCAATTGATATGCTGAGACTAATCATTAGATGCAACATAAGTAATAACTCACACCAGTTGGATGAGATTAATGTAAGATCAACAGACACATACCTAGAATTGGGCACTTCGACCATGCCCAGTTTGCCCCCGGACAGTACGTTGCTGCTGTATTTTTCTTCCATCTTCAAGCACCTAAAGTCGACCAGTTTAAGTCCAGTTGCAGTATTTATGCCCCTAATATCCTAAACATTACTGTTACATGAATAATGACATTAAACCACAGCCCATTCAACGTCACCGGTAAAGAATACGGCCGGGCTGCTTCATGCTCTTATTCATTCTTAACTCAATATCTAAAATAAACTATACACGAGCATAAACCTTCAGTCAGTTGACAGCTTTCTTTGCCTGTTAGCCTGTTAGCTAGCTAGCTAGCCCTCTGGCATGCCAGTTGAGTTAGATTGTATCCAAAGTTTCTACAACACGGTCGTCTATGTACAAAGTACGTCAAACAAGTACATGTGGTCTCCTAGTTAGAGCTAGATAAGTAACGAGTCCTCGGTTGAGCTGACCACAATAACAGTTAGAGTCCGTATTAAAAGGATAAAACATCCAAGCTGGCCAAGAAGCCACAGCACTTCCGGACACGGTAAACAAGTCCACGTCACGTCACGTGCGTTTATCATTCACGAACGTCACTCCTGCGCAGTTCAGATTTATGCGTCGAGGATGACGACGGTGGTAGAAAGTAACGAAGTAGTTAAATATAAATGATGTGCTTGATTTTAACTTGATTTTATGCCAATCTTTAGAAAGCTGAGCGACTTCAACGATGACTTCTGTTGTCTTTCGTCGCAATATTGCGAAGTTTTAAAACAAAATCATAAAGGGTGTTCTTATGGGAGCCCGTTTCCGCTTGGAAAAAATAGGTTAGGAATGACAAAAAATGTAATATCAGAGTTAATATTAGATACCAAGTCCACATTACTGAGATACTGAGCCATGAATTTGATTTGGGATTACTTAGAATATTGACTTCTGTATCATAATTTTGTCAAAATGTTCTCAGAAAAGTCAAAATTGTATAGATTGTTTCATGTGTTTACCATTTTTACTCAAACAATCATATTATTTACTTCATATATCATAATTTTGACTTGCAGGGTAAATATTTAGACTTTCTATTTTATGGTAAAGTCCAGATTTTGACTTACTACCTCATAATTAATACTCAAACATTTAGATTTGGGATCAAATCATTTTGACTAAGTAAACAGACAACACAACTGACAAACAACACATGAAAGCAAAAAGAGAAACAGCAAACAACATACAGGAAGTCTATGAGATGTTCTTTATTGCTGGTTGGATTACATCAACTCAATCAATTACACAGACGTTATTCAAAATCATTTTAAAAGATGTGAGATTTCAGTGGCATCCAATGGACAAGCTGGCCTCCACTTCCAGACAAGTGGTTTCAACAGAATTTCAGTGAGGTCCACACAGTTGAAGCAGGATTTTCTCATAATGTCCTTTAGTGTCTTTCTGTGGAACAGAGACAAAGATGTGATCAGCAGACATACTCTGATATATCGTCAATTTGTTTCTGGACTGTCTGAGTGAAAAACGGAACGTAAAAGCAGCCATTCAGGAACATTCTAATATTTCATCTTACCAGTATGTCCTCCTGTAAGCTGAAATCATACATGGCCCTGTATTCCTCCACAATCTTCTTCAGGTCGACCTCAGAGCGGCTCACCAGCACCCTGATCAGTGTGTCATCACATGTGCCGTGGCCCTGTGGGAATGGAGCAAAGGTTTGTCCGCTGAACAGGTAGAGAGCATGCAAATCGCCTTACTCTGCAGGTTTACTACACACTGTGGATTCATATTTAATCTTTTTATGATATATTCGGTTATGTACCATTGCTACATACTACATCTGTGTATTGATTGTTTGCATAACCAATCACTACAGTTGAGCAGTGTTTTCCAGAGGTTGACAATATTTATGGTGACCAGACCTCCAAAATCTAACATTTGAGAGTAAGTTGCACAACAGGGATTTATTTACAAGCTCATTTATGATTTGCAAAGTCACATTTCACATACTATTTGTATGGGAATGCAGCATATTATGGTGGACCTTTCAATTCTTGCCTTATTTCAAATAAATTCTGAAGCAGGCATTTGAAAGAAAAACACAAACACGACAATTAAGACTTTATCCAAACTAAACAAGCAAAACTTTAAATGAAAACTGCGTTCAGCACAGAATGTCTGAGGAAAAAGAAACACACACACACACACACACACACACACACACACACACACACACACACACACACACACGTGGTGAGAAAGAGACGGGCATATCCACACACACCTTCATAGCCAGATGGAGCTTCTCTGCGAAGAAAGCGGGTGTGTTCCAGGAACATTTCACTAAACGTGAAAAAGACACAAACATTCCCAGTGAAAATATGCAGCATGCAGTCGCTGCTGTGTCTCACAGTGTTTCTTTATTTGCTTTCATGATGTTTCGTGTGTGAGGTCATGATGTGCCACACGCTGGAGACTGGGATGTGCAGTTAGTATCATAAGCATTGGATCTATCCTGTGTTTGTTTCATGCACTTCTCTTCACTTGTGCTTCAGATGGAAAAAAGAAGGTTTATTTGTTCATTTTATGTTTTTTTGCAGTGCCTTCGTTTGTTCTAGTTCTTTTCTTAACACACTCCCTCCAGTGTTTTCTCTCTGGATACCACATGTTGCATGACTGAGTAAACAGTGAACAGTAAAACTATGCTAATCAAGATTTACAGAGTCCAACCCAGAGTCCCAATGACGCCAACTTTTTTCACATGTACACAAGAAATATCAAAGTCTTATGCGCAAGCTTCCCTTAAATTTCTGAGCATGTGCCTACTCCCCAGATAATACATCCTTTTAATCCCATGACCTTTCTTCCAGCTCCACCTTTAGAACAAACGCTTCATTTTTGTCCCTGAATAAAACGTTGTTTTTCTATAATGCGGCTATAATGTGGATGAACATCGCAGCCTGTGTTCTTGTTAACAACTTCTCCATATAAACATCAGTGGAGCGACACTGCTTGTCTATGACAAAATAAGTGCTTTAAAGCCCATGACAACATAATTTCGAACTTTAAGTGTTCCTGTACATAAATATTACTAAATTTGCAACAATCACAGTTAAAGTTTGGAAAAAAACTTCCATATTTATCATTTATTAAGAGATTAACACTCGAAAGCTCAGTTTATCTGCTTCTTAGAGAGTGTGTGGGTGTACAGATTTGATTGACAGTGGCCTGACACTGGCAGCAGAAGCAAACAACCCACAACTTTTATATGTATCTTATGTTGTTAAATCCTGAACAAGAGAACTCCTCAATCATAAAAGGTGAAACCAAATGTGATCAAATCAAACCCTCCATACCAATGTCAATGAGACAATCCTCAATGTCTCCCTTCAGCTCCATGTCCAGGGCTTTAGGCAATGTGACGTCACTGACGGTGGCGTAGTGCTGGAACACTAACAGGTAAACAGACAAACAACAGGTATTTATGGGTAAATGGGCTACTTCTCGGACAGAAAGCAAACTTTTAGTCAAGGTATGAGATCATTGCGTGTACCCAAAACATCTCTGTAATTTAAAAAAAAAAACAGTCTTCAGCTGGTTTGACTGGATCTTTAGACATGAACTGCCATAATTGATACTCTAAACAAGCATCAATCTGAACTATGGAGCATCGTCATGTGGAAAGAGTATGTGTGCTTAAATAAACCTTCACTTGATACATAAATCTAAACAACTGTTTCTGTTTTTTCTTAAAATGAGTGAACCGTGGACTCCGTGGATGATAAAGATCGTTTAACAAAGAATTATTAGCCTACTTTGCTCCGTATTGTTCCTCCACTGCTGGGTGTGTTCCACCTGTTACCTGACAGAGTGTGGTTCCACCTGTTTTTCCAGGTGTGTTTGTGTGTACTCTTTGAAATAAAGGTTTTGGCAGATTCAGCCTCTGATGAATCAACCACAGCTGAAGCATTCAGACATTTCAAGCACTCACTCTTTGCGAGCTGCTTCGCGTTCCTCTTGGTCAGGATGTCGATGAAGGCAGAAATATTGATTCCTTTGGTATTCTCACCTGCCTCAAACAGAATCTACGGGTAGAAAACAGTAACACGCCATTACAAGATAATGTTGTTCTCTGCAAAAACTTTTACATTAAAGGACAAGTCCGATGATTATCTATATGTTTCCTATTGTCAACAATTGATCCTACAAGTATTGTGTGCATCAAAGCCTGATCGTTGTCCTCCGTGCCATAGAGCCACGTTGTTGTTAAAGACACATCAATGAGCCACACTGTAGCCCTGGGTGACATGTTCCTCCATTACCATGAACACACACAATGTTGTTTGTTTTGAATCAAGTCTACATACTCGGTCTTGCTGCTGGAAATACTCACTAGAGCACCAAATGTGTATTAATCCACAGCTGAAAATAGTCCCTAACAAGTATACAATTTTCTTCTGCTGAGTGACATGTGATAAAAACTACAGCTGTCAGCTGTTTTAGGAAATTACAGAGTCTTATGTTAAAATGAGGATTTGCTGACATTTTTTTGAGTAGTTAAAAGTAGATTTTACCTCTGCGTCCTTTCGGGCCAGATTGGTGTCGACTTCCTTGCTCTCGTCTTTGTTTGCTTCCAACATGGCCAGAAGGGCCGAGGTGAAGTCACCACTGGTTTCATCCTCAATAACTTTCTCCAGATCTGTTTCGTACTCTGAGGGACAAACAGCATTTCAGCACAAAGACAACAGACTTTGCAATAACATATTTGGGACAAACAGTATGTGGTTGTTATAGCTGTTGTTTAGAGGTTTACAGTCCTACAGTGCTGCACGGTCTAAGAATTCAGTGTTGTTTTACTGCTGACTGCACCAGAGACACTAAAGAGTGTCAGATAAATACCTAAGACGTTACGTTAAATGTGAAAACCTTTCAGGAACTCAGAGCTCAGCATGTTCACAAAAACAAATAACAAAGTAGCTGCATTGAATCCGGCCAAACCTTCTTTGAAGACCCTCTTGATCTCTCGAATCTTCTGGTTTGATCTTGTAGCCAGAATCTCCACCAGGACGTCTTCATGTGTGCCGAAACCCTGTTAGAAAAGAGCGAATGCTGAGTGTGACTAAATTCAAAACATTCAAGGGTAACATGTGTTTTATAGGACTCTTCAAACACAATAACAACATAAGTGGTATACAGACATTATAAATATTGCCAACAAATGCCAGATACAGCTAAGCTAAACTACTGAAATGAAAAGTAACTTAGAGAGTGAGATTTGGAAATAATTGATGATACTGATATATAGTACATAAACCGCTGAGTTACCTTTGTGGCCTTCCTGAGCAGGTAGGCATCAAAGTGACTGGGATCCATGAGCATGGCCAGAGATACGTCCTCTAAATCTGACCTGAGAACAGACTCCAGATCTTTATCCAGCCTCTGCAAGATACAGGGAACAGCAGCATGGCAGCATGAGGGTACCTCTCTTTAATGTAATCATGGCATTTCAAAACAGACTCTGACTGCCGCGGAAAATTAAAGCCATCACATGTGTGTGTGGTTGTTGTATTCTGGAAGATTACCATCTGCCACAGTTTCTTTTTTGATACTACAAACAAGGGCGTGTCCGGAAAGACTATATATATTTTGCTGAACAGTGGCCACTGTTGCCACGAGTAGTAATTCTCTTAAGATATTCTTGAGTCAGTTGCTTTGAAAACGTCAGCGAGCAGAAGAGTACCATGAGCAGAACACAACAAACATGTTTCTGGTGAGGTGTGCATGTTTACTTTTGTGCTGAAACCAGTTAAATGGTTCCGTTTAAACCTTATTGTGACCAATTAAAATGGTCATCTCTGACATAATATAACATATTGTAACAATAGCACAAATGGACACTACTTAGAAAACTGACTCAGCAATGTCAGTAACACATTATTAACTATTTAAAGTTTGCTATTTAGCCTCCATGATACTGGTCGTACCAGACAAAGTTGTAGCAGCAAAGCCCTTGAGTGTATTGAATTCACTTTCAAAATCTTTCTTTAGGTGGAAATAAGGAGACACAAATGAAACAGGTAAACAACTTATACAACGTAAACCAAGTGGGTTGATATGAGAAAATATGGACTGCAAAATCAGCTTTAATTTGAATGCAGTGGATCTGGAGAGAATGACTTGTTGCCGTCACAACATTTGACCTTATTTGTTTTGCAAATCCCTGAAAGCTGAAAACACTTTACATTGCGAGGTCAGAGGGAGGTTTGCTGGACATCTCATGTGTCACTATTTTTCCCGACTTGTGTTCAGCTTGTTGCTGTAATATTCATTTGACCAAACTCGACTCTGTCTTCATGAGAAATGAATCACTCACCTTCCCAGTGGACGCTTCATAAACTACTTTGATCTTCTGTCTCTGCTCGCTGCTTCTCTTCACCAGGATGGCGATGATCACATCCTCGTCCACTTCTGTGAGGGACAAGTTCTACTTTAGCTTACTTTCTTGAAAGCACAGCCTCTAAGACAGACATGTGGAGTCCTGGGAGAATATTTAGGTCTTTAAAAAAACTCCCAGGTTTATTAAAATAATGGAAAGCAGAGGAGCAGCTTGCCTTGAGTGAAAAATGTTTTTTCCCGTCACATACACCATCTGCAAAAACATCTAACCCAACCTTAAAAGCATGAGAACACTCTTAAGATAACAGGAGCACACACACCTTTACTTTCAATGGCGCTCTGAAGAGTGGAGGCATCTTGGCTGGCATTGAAGTTGGGATACGGGGCGACTGTTCCATAATACTTGGGTTTGGGTTTACCCTTCACCTAACAACAGACAGAAATACAAATGTTTCACTCACTCAGTGAAGTTGCAAACCACCAGTAATTCAAAGCAGATTATTTTCAGTTTTGAAGATGATTTTTGATTCAGTAGTCAGGCTTCACAGAAAGTAAGTCATTTTATATGAAAAGCAATAACATTCATGGTGAATCCAAATACTCAATTCAAGCACCAAAGATTCTCATTAACTTTTCACATATCTGTAACATTTAAATGTTGATTTGAATTGCAGAATTAAAAACTGGAGGACCGTCACGTTAAACCCAAACTAAACTGCGGTTAGCCAACAACAGGTGTATTCTCCTCATGAGTAGTTGCTCTTTGGTGATCTGATACTCACATTAACGGTGTCATCTTCGGGGTCTGTGTTTTTACGGATGACATCTTTGAAGAATTTCTTGAAGAAGGACATGTTTGCTTGGGTGTAAAGTTATAACCAGAAACAAAAAAACTATTTCTGTAGAGAGAAAAAAAGGAAACAATAAAGAAAAATAAAGAATTAAAAGTTGATTTAAATATTTCATATTGAAACATAAAAAAAACCCCTCACCTGTGCTACTGCAGACAGTCTTCACACCCCAGTTTGAAGATCTCAGGTGTTGGTCTCAGTATTTAACTCTTTCTGCAGTGGCTCCACCCATCTCTGTGCAGATGACTTTCAGACAGGTTTATTTTCACCTGCTAAGGATTGGCCGGATCGGCCAATCGTCTGCCACCTCTCAAAGACAGCATTCCTGCGAGGTGACAGACGTTCTGTCGCTTATGACAGGTTCGGTGACTCTTCTGTACGGACTTGTACATTTGTGGCACTTCACCCTTTAATCAAACAACATATCAATCACACACACACATATGGAGGGGGCAGTGATAAAGTTGACTGTAGCACATATTTTAAAGGAGCTGGTGAAGAAAACACTCCTAAATACTGACCTGAGACTCCGCACTGTTGGTCTTGCACAATTACATGACTGAACCTGATGTTCCACATATTCTCTTGAGCTGATACTGCTGAAAGGGAACTCAACTGATGTTTCACCTGTAAACAGATGTGAAACAAATAGTATAAAGCCTTTTCTGTGTACTCTCTGATGAATTGCCTCAAGTGATGTCACTTAAGTCAATGTTGGCTGGGGAAGAAGACTTCAAGTTTGAAAGTAAAAAAATATCTTGGGGTGAGGAGTTAAAAAGAAGTGAGCTCACCAGACCTCTGTAGCCCGCTCCTCATCTCTGATGGAGCTTGAATCTCCAACCGAACTGTCGGTGGGCTCGTTGCATTGTGGGTAATGTATTTTTCTTTTAGGTTTTGACAAGAAAAAGAATGTGTGGAATTTAAAAAAAAAATGATGTTCCTGGTTCTCCTGCATCGTTCTTGGTACTTTTTTTAAAACTGGATTATATATATATATCATTTTTATAAACATATATATGTAAAAAGTAGGATGAAAGATGCTCTTCAAAGTTTTAAAACTTTATTCAAAGTCAGAGTCATACCATGAATTACAAAGTCAGAGTAAATGTGAGCGAAAACCAAAAAGCCCGAGCACAGACATCACCACACAATAACATGTTTCTGTGAGTATTGCATATGAAAGCAAAAATACACAATGAGTTGTCCGGATATATGAAAATAATCTACAAAAGTGGACGCGATGAAATCTATTATTTCATTCATCGAAACATCTCAGAGTTTTGTGCTATTGTGCTTGGCCCAAAGCAAAGACTCTGTGTTTAATGGTTGTCAACATTTCCATTCAATTTCCTATTTTACTGGAACTATCTATACAATGTACACAGAGACTGTGAGACGTGGTTCAAAGCTCCAGGAAAAGCTTCTACGCAGTTATTTTGTTGTCAAACTATTTTTTCCAAGAATGAACTTTTTCGCTCAAATGTATACTGAGTTTCTTGGGCACGGAAAGTTCCTTTGGGATGAACAAAGCTCTATCTATCTCATCTTATCAGAAGTACTGCTATGATTAATTGCAATTCAATATAGACTGAGCACTGATTCAGAATGTTGTTGAAACAAAGATGTCCTGATGTTGTCTGCATCGTTTCTTCTTACTTTTTGTTCACAGTAGAATTGCCCAAAGTAATGCTTCCACCCTTTATGTCAAATGTGTTGTCTCATTTGAAGAAACTTCATTGGAACATGCAGTGCAGTGTGAGAACCGACATCATGGCTGATCAACATCCATACAGTGTGAGCATAAAAGCAGGTTGTGGCATTCTTTCTTCATGAATTATAAGTTACTAAAATATAGGTTTTTCCAGCATTGAGTTGCAAAACTTTGTCATTACAAAAATTACCACTTTTGACGTCAGTAAGTAAATATGAAGACCTAATGAAGGTCCTTTTAATTGAAATGCCACAATCTCAACACCTTGTTTTTGTGACTATTCATGTCACGTATTCCAGACATGGATGAACTAAGATGGTCTGCGGCATGAACACAGCCTGCAGGGATGTGATTCTCTCATACTGTTATCTCGGAGGGGGCCCCCTCCCCCTCCCACGGCCTCTGCCCGGTCCGGCACCCGGCGGTGGTCCATGGCCTCTCGGCCCGGGCGGCCGGCTCACTGGCCCTCGAGCGTTGGGGTTGGGCGATGCCAGAGTCACATCTCTCTGCAAGTTAACGCCTTTACCGGCTGTCCCAGGCCTCGTTTTAGTTGGCTTTGCTTCTGGCTCTGGCTTCTTTACTGTTTAGACGGAGACAGTGATATATCAGCTCAATATCTAGATATAAAGTCACATTAGATTTGAATTCAGAACCATATAAAACCTCAATGAATGCAGTTTACTGACCAGGCTGTGGTGGAGGAGCAGGGGGCATGAGGGATCGGTTTGGCAGCAGGTCCTCCAGGTCTTTCATGACCTGGTTGGTGCTGTCCGTGTTGTTCCTCCGGTTCTTCTCTTCATCCCGAGTCTGGAAAGACAGGTGGTTGAGAGAAAAAAGTGGGGAAAAACATTTCAGAGACATTCAGGAAGAGAGAGAAAACAATAAGGAGGAACAGAACTGTTATGTTAAATGAGTCTTTTACGTTAAAGATATCAAAACAGTGCTTCAAGGATAAGGCTGACAATCTTCTATATTTTTGTTGTTGTTTAGAAATCCAATCAAAAGACCAAAACAAACAATGCGTGTCCGTCTCTCAATACTTTCCCTTCCCTGTCTGTGGCTCTCAGCCCCAAGCCCATTGGTTCCTACTGAAGACGTGAATCTTTAAAAACTGTTCACAAAAGTTTTGATTTATAGAAAGGCTCAGCAGTTTCCTAAAACAGCAGGTCACTGTTGTTTTTATCAAATGTTACTCAAACACAAGTAAATGGTGCATATGTTGGGTATTATTTTTCGGGCGCGGATTCAAACAAATTTCAGCCTGTTCTACTTCTCAGGGCGAACCCCATTCTCTACTTACCATCTGCATCTTCTTCTTCAGCTCCATGTTGGCGTGTTGATAGGCCTCAGACACTGAGTTCAGATAGTAGATGGCCAGTCTGTAAAGGAGAAATGATGGGATTTGTCATTTTTCAGTGGCTGCAAAGATACACTTATTATTTGTGTGTGTGTGTGTGTGTGTGTGTGTGTGTGTGTGTGTGTGTGTGTGTGTGTGTGTGTGCGTGTGATCCACTGTGTCTCCTCTACACTCACACCATGAGCAGTACAGCGGGTATGATGAGGCCTGGGTTGGCTGCATAGCTGAAAAGTGTGCCCAAGAAGGCTGGCAGGTCCAGGTCGATCGTCTCCATGATCACATCAAACATCTTCACCTTCCCACTGCAAACATCCACATGGTCAACATGTGTGTGTGTGTGCTTGCGTTTTTATACATCCTCTATGTATGAGTTCTTTGTGTACGTGCTGTTACCTGAAGGGTCCGCAGTCAAATGAAGGCGGCAGGGTCATGATGGTGAAGACGACGGGCAACAGACTGAGGAAGAGGATGAGGAGCAGCAGACCCATGTAGAAGTTGTTGGACTTGGAGGCCTTGAAGACTCTCTCGTGTGGGACGTTGGTGGCCATGACAGCCCAACACTGATAGTACATGGAGCTGAGGAGGCGCAGCACGTTGATGCCGACCAGCCCAGGAGCATAAAACGCACCCATCCTGAAGCACACAGAACATGACAGCACGTCATGTGATTAGATGCTGTGTGACAAACCATTAAATATGAAAGCTTGTTAATTCTGTTTAAATGATAACAATGCCACTATAAGTAAGTCAAAGCTTGTCTGAAAATGTGTTGTAAACAGTGTGTGTGTGTGTGTGTGTGTGTAACTGATAATTAGAGGGTCACATTATACATCCACTCAGGGATACTAGATACATGCAGATAAAATAACGCATGCATGTCAATTTAAACACATGCACATGGGGGGGTGGGGGGGTGGGGGTGGAGGCAACGGACAAATAAAGTTCATACCAGATCATTCCTTGATTGAAAACCAATCCAAGTACATTACCGCTGATGTCAAACTCTCCATATGACGGCTGAAAGTGAACGGAGAAAAGGATTACTTACTCCTTAGAGCAGTTAAATAAGTCACCATGTGAGCAGATAGAGAGCTGGATTTTAGGTAAGTTACTTAATTAGACCTTTGACAAAAAGAGTAACGATATCACGTCAACAATATCAGAAGATGAATCATTCTGTCGATCCAGATTTTGAGACATTTCACACAAAAATCACACAATTGTGTGTTACAATACTCGGATTTGTAAATAACGTTTGGTCCGTCACGGTAGAAAATGTCTTTTTCTCAGCAGACATTTCGACATGTTTTCAGGCTGAAGATGAACAGGTGAGCAAGTTCCAGGAGTAACCTACATGAAGGGGACGCTCCCTCGCTGAAATGTCTTTACTGGGATCCATATTGGGATTGAACCACTGTTAAAGCTATTAGTTACGCTTGTACTTTCACTGATTTAACATTACATTAATACATCTTACTCCACAGTGAACACAGCAACAACTAATACAAATCATAAAGGGTTAGTTTGATTGAAATGACTACGCATTGACAGCTACATTAAACAGCAGTGTCCACCCTGTTTTCCACCTGCGCATTCACCTGAATCTGACTTCTTACATGCTCACAATTTAAAAATTAAAGATGTTTTCTTAAATTGTCGTGTCACAGTGGGACAATCACCGGTGTAAATAACAAAATGATTGATGCTGCTTTGGTTTCAGGGACCTTGTATTGTGCATGCTGGCTCACTTGAATAGAACAGAAGCTGCTACTCCATCAAAGCGAGGAACAAAAAGTTCACCACTTACTCAGCTATGGACCAGTTTTAGAAACACCCTCAGTAAACCTTTTAAATGCTTCAGCTGTCGGACTCACAAATCCGGCCTCCAGGTCCCAGCACCAGCAGTAGTTGAGGAAGCGAACAATGACAGCTCTAGCAAAGTCACCGATCAGGATGGTCAGGTAGGACACCTGGATGTCCGACACTGTCAGCTTCACAAACTCCTGGAAAGACACACATTGAGGAAAGTGAAACGGGGACACAGGGGTTTGTGCCTCGGTTTGTCTGATGATATCCGTCAGACTGATTTTTTTGTGATTTTCCTCACAATGCCGACGGCGGTCTCCCAGCAGGGTCCTCTGATGACATCGCC